GGGCATGTCGTAACTTTATCTGTTCTTTGGGTCATATTCTATATTTGTTAGAATTCCATGTGATTTTGTTAATTAAAAATAATTTTTCTTTTGCAATTTATTTAATGTGCTTTCTTTAAAAATTTAATTTGGAGTACAAAATTGCAAATCTTTTGCATCTAAAGCCCATTTTATGATTATGAAGGCATGTTTGCTTAGATCAATATTGTTAAACCATATTTGACATATTTATGATCATGTTAATGCTTATTGTCTGATGTTTTGTGATACACGTGCATCATTGTATTCAATTATGTTTTCCAAGTGAAAGAAATTGTAAATATTTATATTTGGACCAACATAATCACTAGACTTGTAAAGGTCACTTAATCTCTTTAGTTAAATCGTGAGACATTAATATTGACCAATAGTCATATACATTGAATTTCACATCATGCAATAGATGCTATCCTTTCTTACTCTATGTCGAGTGGCATCCTACCTAATGACTGCCTAACTGGTATCATAAAGGGGTTTATATTTGGTTTATAGTCGTTGCTGTGCTACATATACAAGTTGTTTGAATAGTTCATAAGATTTTCTTCCGGAGTCTCTACGCAGTGGTACTATATCTGTCCCTGGCTCTATGGTTCAAAAGAATATTGGACGAAAACAAGCTCTAGATTGGGTTTTGTGTACTATAGATATAATTATCCATAGTTAAATGAAAATTATGTAGAATGCTATTCACATTAAGGCAGTCAACAATGCCTGAGCTTACAAAGATGCATAGTATTACACCATAGGTGTCCTTAATGTCACACCCACGAAAGGGCAGTCATGTATAGGCTGCAGGATTAAACTTATGATATCTTCATCAACTCCAAATCCAATCTTCCTTCTTTATATATATTCATTGTAATATTAATTTCATTATAGAAAAGAAGTTTCATAAGTTGGTGGGTATTAATATTTCTGATTTATGTGTGCTAAATATCCATGATTATTCATAATCATAATGAAGCTGGCCAGCATTCAAAGTTTTTATGTGAAACTCTACAAAGTAACACCATCTCATTTAGTTTGATTTATGAAATGCAATTCCTATAGTATAAGAGATAAATTGTAATACTGAAGAACATATATTTACTCAATTCAAGCTGGATATATTTGAAATGTGAGAGAGTTTCAAATAAAAACATCTTATGTTTTATTATTCTTAGTTGGAAAAATTGACTTTGAAAAGTGTTAAAAATTAAATTTATAGATATGCAGGTGAATACAAGAGTTGAACGGGTGTATCTGTTCGAACGTGTTACTAGATGTCAATTTCTAAATTTCATATGTCTATCTTGTTATAATTAAACATGTGATATTGTTATTTTGCAAAATTTTTAAAAGACTTTGCAGATGTGCAGATTGTTGGCAGAGAATAAGATGTGTCTTGCTAATTGTCTAGTTGGCTACTTGCTTGATCTCGTGGCTAGCCAAGGCTAAATAGGGTGTAGTTAAAGGAGGTGTATCAGATTACTTCTCTTAAGAAAATGAAACATTAGTTCCCTTAATTTTCAACGTGAATTTGAACTTTACAATATGGGTACTTGAAAGATTTATTTTTCACTTTAATATACGTAATTAATCAGGTAATCAGTCTATTCAAAATTATCTTATCTAATCCACTAGTGTAACTGATACTTTTTTCAATAATATATTTTAGCATACATAACTGCCTCAGTTTAAAGATTCATTTTCAAACATGAAAAACTTGAGATCTTCTTTAAAAATCAGTTCATAAATAGAAAATTAATTAAATAAGTAATTAAATATATATTTTAATAAAATATGTAATTAAATATATTATAATCTCAATATCACACAGTTTATGATCACAGTTACGTACTAATCACACTCATAGAATATCAAAGTCACAAGCGACAAATTATCAAATTAATTATCATGATTTATTTATTGGTCATAAATCATAAATTTTAGAGGCCACAATAAATTATCAAATTAATTTGTCGTGCATTATTTTTCAATCAAAAATCACAAATTTTGTAATGCATAATTTATTTACCGATAACAAACTATCAAATTAATAGGTCACGCGATATTTCTCAATTACAAATTACAAATTTTATGGGTCACTATTTATTTATCAGTTACAAAATATCAAATTAATTGCTCACAAGCTATTTTTCGATTATCAAATTAATTGATTATAATTTAATAAATTGTAAGTCACGATTACAAATATAATCACAATCTTACATTTTTTTAGGTTACATATTTATTGGTCACAAATTATCTATTTTGTTGATCCTTTATTATTTATTGATCACAAATTAACTATTGTATTAGTCACAATCACCCAAAAATTAGTCACGAATACTTTTCATCCTACCCACCCTGTCCTTTCCCAACTACACTCTTTCACCAGCACCAATCGAACATTGCGGACCTCATCATCACCACCAACAGCATTGGCGGACCCACATTGGGTCCTAGTGGGTCAAGTGACCCACCAGCCTTAGAAATTTTTATTTTATTTTGTTTTAATAGACTCCAAAATCACAAAGAAATAAGAGAATTCTTTTATTACCAAACAACAATTAAATTAATTGTTTTCATTGGTAAATCTATGATTATTGATAAACGGATTACTTTTTTTCACTTGAATTGATTGTTTGTATCAGGTATAGAAAAGTATTTTAAACATAAGTTTGCGTTTAAAGTATTGAAAATGATATAATTATGGAACGTTAGAACGTGTAGAGAATATTTCTAATAAGATATCAAATATATTAAATCTTTAGTAACTTTTTTATAAGTTTGACTGTGCTCCACTAACTCCAAATATTTGCGTTCGCCACTGACCAATAGTACCACCTCACCGCCACCATCACCAACGCTACCATCGCCACAACTTCATTACTTCGAACTCCACTATAGTCGATACTATCACCACTACATGTCTACAACCATTTGCAAACCACCAACAAAAATATCCTAAAACTCAAGTTAAGCAAATTGGAGGAGGAAGAAACCATCCTAAAACCCCAAAACCATCGCCACTTTTCTCCTCACTATCGTCGTCTCCACCACCAAAACCACGACTTCCACCACCCACGTTATCGAAAATAGTTAATCCCGGATTCACCTTCTGCATCGAGCTTATCTATATCCATGTAAATAGAAAATAGATTTGCATCCAGCACCAAGATTCACCATATTTATCGTCCTCCAACCCCATCGCCTCCACACTTACTGTCGCTATGTCGAACGTGTTAGCCACAACGGCTGCGGACCATCCAGTCGAATTGGTTGCCAGATTGTGAACTTAGCTACCATGTGCGACAGTTCTTCTATCAAATTAACATTTGTCAATGCACACAATATCAACCTTTATGTCCATAAAGGGTATACAAGTGACATTTCCCTATTGAACGAGACAAATGAGTTCCCATGTCCCACTTTGACACAAACCAGTGATCCTATCCCAATCAAAACCAACGACAAATCAAATATCTACACTTCACAATCTCACACTGCCAGCAAGAACCGCAATATTTAATAATTCACTGACTCTGATAATCATCATTTTGTCATCTTTCTTTGCAGTACAGAGTGCAGGTGGGGAGGATCAGAAGTGGGATCCGAAGTGTCTCGCACTATCCAGTACATCAATCTACCTGTTGTTAGGTTATTGATGTTAACACCACTTGGCATGTATTGTCTTTATGATTAATTACTTAGGGCAACTCCAACCCTTGCACCATTGCACCAAATTGCACCTAAATTTGGTGCAAACTTCCTCCAACCATTGCACCATTGCACCAAATTTTGGTGCAAAAAATGGTGTAATGAATAGTATTGCACCAAATATGGTGCAACACTATTCATGTTGCACCATTTTGCACCAAATGGTGCAATGTCCATTTTACCCTTATTTTTCTTTTTTTAAAGATAATGGTTAAGGACATTTGTGTCATTTTCATTCTATAATAATAATGATAATGATAATGATGATAATAATAATAATTACTTAATTAATTACACTATTAATTATATTATTAAAGTTTATTATTTTTAATAATATAATCAATAATAATTAACAACCTTTATGTCCATAAAGGGTATGGAAGTGACATTTCCCTATTGAACGAGACAAATGAGTTCCCATGTCCCACTTTGACACAAACCAGTGATCCTATCCCAATCAAAACCAACGACAAATCAAATATCTACACTTCACAATCTCACACTGCCAGCAAGAACCGCAATATTTAATAATTCACTGACTCTGATAATCATCATTTTGTCATCTTTCTTTGCAGTACAGAGTGCAGGTGGGGAGGATCAGAAGTGGGATCCGAAGTGTCTCGCACTATCCAGTACATCAATCTACCTGTTGTTAGGTTATTGATGTTAACACCACTTGGCATGTATTGTCTTTATGATTAATTACTTACTTGTATCGAATTTATTGCATAAATCTTTATTAAGAACCCCAAATCAATCTTAACATCGTCCGTTTATTCGCGCTTTCGTGCATCGTCGTCATGAATAAATACCCCTTTATTTGTAAAAAATCATGTGCTTGGTTACAGAGTTGACTTGTTATTATTATTATTCATTTTAATGATTTGATACATAGAAATGACGGGAATTCCAAGTCTACAGTTGAATTTGTGTACCCCAGCGGATTTTTATTTTTCTGAACCATTATATGGCAAATCAGGGCAACTAAAGTTGTCGGCATTGAATTGTAAAAGAAGAAATTCGGGGGTTTCCGGTATTGAGGTAAAACAGAGCATTTTGGCGCCAATTAAGGCAATGGATTCTTCCAAAACGACGTCGCCAATCAATGGTAATGCGGGCAGTTTCCGGGAGAAGCAGCAATCGGGATGCAATTCCGGCGATGATTTGCTTACAAATGAACGTGATGACTGTTCCGGTACATAATTAAAACCTTTTTTTTCCCTCCCAATTTATATAGGAGCAGAAGTTTTTTATGGATGTTGGAAAATTGATTTTAACAGGTAAAAGTATGCCCCAGATGTCTTCAGTTGGAAATTCGACTAATATTGTTTGGCACAAGTGTACTGTGGAGAAGAGTGACAGACAACAGCTGCTTGGACAAAAGGGTTGTGTCATTTGGATTACCGGACTCAGTGGTTCAGGTTTGTTTTACAAACTGTTAATTTGCATCAGATTTAGCAGTATGAATCAATTGCTATTTGGGCCTTCCTTTGTTTGGAATTTTATCAAATATATTGGCTGTACTTCTCATGCACTGCTGTTATCTTTCCTAAGGTCATTTTTCTGTTATTACCATATTTTCTACTAATTCCAGTTTAGGAGCCAGCAATTTCAAAAGGAGTTAAACTGTAGGTGAGGTTAGAGGTGCTTAGAATTTATGATATCAAGTTGCAGGGTTACATCAATCCTAAAGGCTTCGTAGTTTTGACGGTTGTTAGATTAGAATAATTGGGAAACAAGGATATCAAGTTGATCCTTGATATGGTGCTATTTGGTAAAATTCTGAGAATTGGAAAAACCGTGAGTGATGTACTTCTACACCTACAGCTTGTACTCGGACCATTTTTCTGGGGTCTATTGATTTTATGTAACTGCATTAAGTGAAGTGCTGAATTTCATTCATTGTTGCTTCCTTAGAGTATCATATGAAGAATAATGCCACTTGTACACTCTCTTTATACATCATTGTGCACATCATCCGGGTTGGCAATGTGTGATTGATGGAAAGTCTGGTTTTTAAAAAAAAACTGTCAAATCTATCTTGACACGTGGCGAAGTGTACACAAAGCTGTACATTAAGATGTGCATGAAGCATTGTTGATCATATGAACTCTTAAAAATGAAAATCCTGGAAAGTAAATAGTCACTCTGTTTGATCTTGCATGGATGCTGTGAGATCGTCACTCTTTCTTTAGTTGATTGGAGCTCTAAACACATTGTCAAACCCTGTCCTAAATTTTATTCGGAGCGACAGGTAATTTTTGTTGTTGTGCAAACAAAGAGAACTGTTACATTTTCTACAACAAAGAGGGAACTTTTCATAAATTTTAAAGAAGCTTTCACATGTTTGTGTGTGAGACAGAGATGATCCCGTCGAGTGTCCTACAGCTAAGATTCCGACGTGGTTATTTTCTTGTGAAGTTAGATTTTTTTATAGAATCTGAAAGTTATGCACCTCTATAGGACAAAGAATTTTACTACAAAAATTTTCAGATCTAGAATGCTGGCTCTTGAATGAAATTAACCCTTGTGTCTTTGTAAATGGATTCTGTGTTTACAGTAGGAAATCATGGGTTAACATTATGGCATTTAAACCATGATATTTTTTCAATGCCTTTAGAATATAGATGAAAAATAGGAGCAAAGACATAGTTCTCAAGTTCTGATAGTTTTTTATTATAAATGATTCGTTCTCTGGAAGTTTGATGCGCTGCTTGAATTCTCGTCAATTTGTCCATTGATGAATTCTCATTCAATTCTTTTTCTCTGGAAGAATGATCATATTCTGCATCAGTTATTTGTATACCTGGACTAGCAATTTAAAATGCTAAAGAATGACCCAGCCTGTAAAATCCAAGTAATATATATGTATAATTAGCTTCTTTTTTTAGATATAATTTATGGGAATGTTATTTGTTATACGATTAATGAAGCCAATCTGCAAAAACTTAATGGAACGACAAATTGTTAGTAATAGCTTATTTTTTAGCTTTTTAAATTCTGTGTTCATTTCCCTCTTTTTTGTGTGTAACAGTAACAATATACGGCCTTTGTTACTCTTAATTCAAGATTTCTTTTTGTCTGAATGAGGTGGTGGTGTATTTCAGGAAAGAGTACTTTGGCATGCGCTCTAAGTCGTGGCCTACATGCCAGAGGAAAGCTCACCTATGTACTTGATGGTGATAATGTTCGGCACGGTCTAAATAGTGACCTTTGTTTTAAAGCTGAAGATCGAGCAGAGAACATCAGAAGGATTGGTTGGTTTTTTTGGCCTGGTTCCCAATTTGAATCTTCTTTCTAAAGAATCCTACTCATTCAGGTTAACCTGTTTAGCAATTTTATTATAATCAGGAGAGGTTGCAAAGCTATTTGCAGATGCTGGAGTTATATGCATAGCAAGTTTGATATCACCTTACAGAAAGGAGCGTGATGCCTGTCGTGCGTTACTTCCAGAAGGAGATTTTATTGAGGTAGTATACTTCTTTTAAAAATTTTACGTGGAAGATTTTAATTTTCTTACATATTGGTATATTTACAATCAAAACTCTTGAAGTGGAAAACTCGTATTGACTGCAAAAGATTGATTGGGAGTTTCTCAAATATCAGGTATTCATGGATGTGCCTCTGCAAGTGTGCGAGATGAGGGATCCAAAGGGATTGTATAATCTTGCACGAGCTGGAAAAATCAAAGGTAATTTCAATAGTAAAACAGATAACTGTGTCAGAGTTTGAAAACCTATATTTGCAGACGATATAAAATGTAGATTGCTAAAAATTTCCCAGGATTCCATCTGCAGGCCAGAATATTCCTTTGCTATGATTTATTTCATGCATCTGCTGCTCTTCTTTTTCTTCTTTTATTCTTTTTGCGTGCGTGTGCAAGAGTGGAAGTGCATCTAATTAGGCTTCAAACTCCAAATGTCATGCCCCGTCCTAATTTGTTGGACATTGACCCATCCATTTCTTGTCAATCAACCACATGTGCTCAGAATTTCACACATAAGCGGCTTGCTGCATGACGGCACTAAGCAGGAGCTGCATGAAATTGGAGGTTCTGGGGTTTGTATTTATGATCAATTTAAGTGTTTTAGTTCCTATTTATTTTATTCATCTTGTTGGTTGTCTGAGGAAATTTTTTACTACAATTTCAAATCCGACACTTTTCACCATCAGATACTAGTATTAGGAAATCAAATATGCAAAGATTCTTGTTGCTTCATTTTCACGGTGAAGAAGCATTCCATTAACAGTACTAAAAGAATCGCATTGAACATCCCTCCTGTTGTTGTACATGCTCCCATGTTAAATATACCATTGCCTAGCTGTTGACACAGATTCATGAATTCTGTACCTGGACTCCCTTCCAGCTTTGATCTTTTCTGGCATTTATGGTTTCCATTCAAACAATTCAATTTTTATTGGTCTTTTTCCAGGTTTTACAGGTGTTGATGATCCATATGAGCCGCCATTGAATTCTGAGGTATGTACTCCCGTCAGGCAAAAGGTCTTTTCGCTTGCTGAATCCATTCAAACATACCCATCCTTAATATAGATTATCTTCTCATAATCTAAAAATTGATTATAAGACCATATAACATTAGCATCTTCCATCTTGTATCTCTGTTTAGATGATAAATGCCTTCCCAAAATTTGTTCTCTCGACCTTGACAGATTACTGAAGAATGAAGTGTTTGATTTCAGATTTATATCTTGCAGATAGTGTTACATCAACAAGGAGGGGTTTGTGATTCTCCAACAAATTTGGCCGAAATAGTGATTTCATACTTGGAAAGAAAAGGGTACCTGGAGGCTTAATTTGCTTATGCTTTTATAAATTTATGTAGCTATTAATTTACGTAGCAGATATTTTGCTTTAGGGAAATCCCTCGTTTCCTTTTTGCATATTTCAATAATCTTTGATGAGAAATAAATCATTCATTTGTCTAATTATCAGATTTTGTGTGGATTCAGAGCTTTATTCCAGTTGATTTGATCATAAATTAATAAGAAAAAAAAATTAATTATGTATTGATTGAGAATTCCATGTGAAGGCTGGATTCATGGTGTTTTAGGACAGACTTAAAATAAATGAATTTGTCTCATCTGTAACAAGAAGAAAACAAAACCATAAGGCAGAGGAATTTCTCAATTGTGGTAAAACTGCGTGAGCTATTAAACATAGTATTGACTGCATCTAAATTTATAGGGGTGTGAGAACCTTTTTGAAATTAAAAGAAATAAATGGAAAATTATAAGTTCTACATACTATTAATTTGGAAATTTTGAGAATTTGTAAGAAATTGTATAAGAATGTGTCTCTCCTTTATCCTCACTTTATTTTATGAGAAAATTACTTAGATCCCTGCATTTTAAGTTCAAAAATCAGTTGGTAATAATTTTTCATCAAAAATTGGTGGTGGTTGTGAGTTGTGGATTTGAGGTGGCAAAGACAATTTGGGTGGTATCAATGGTGGAGTGGGGGTAGGTGAAGGTGGTGGTGTATTTGAGATGGTGGTGGTGGTGGGTTGTGGATTTGAGGTGGCAAAGACAATTTGGGTGGTATCAATGGTGGAGTGGGGGTAGGTGAACGTGGTGGTGTATTTGAGATGGTGGTGGTGGTGGGTTGTGGATTTGAGGTGGAGGCAACGATTTTAGTGGTGTCCGCCTTGGTGGATTGAGTTTGTATTTTTTGCGTATCCTCCTATTTTACAAAAATAGAAATTTAGATAAATGCTTTCTAAACATATCTACAAAAATAACATATTTCATTTAACTCCTCCATGTTCACTAACTAGTTATTTCAAAATTTTAATAGCGACTTTAACTATAATTTCAGCTTTTTTTGTTGGTCTCAACAAGATACGAGTGGGGTGAGATGAGGAGTGATTGCGATAAGTTGATTGAGTAATTTGTAACTAATAAATAATTTATAATTTACGACAATATGTAATTGTGAATTACAAGTTTGTTATTTTTATATTTAGCTACGTATATTTACCTCATAAAACTTTGTATAAACTTAATTGACAGAAAGAGTGTGTGTTCTCTTTTTATGGCAATCCAGTCGAATTCATCAACTCTTTCTATTTTCCTATTTTCCTTTCCTCCCAAGAATTTAATTTTTATCTTGACACTTTGAAGAAGGGCTAAACAGCACAAAATCTCTCTACCTATTTTCCTTATTGTCGAAAACTCCATACCTTTTGGAAATAGCACAAAATGTTCTTGTTTGGAATCTTTCTTATGGAATACTCCTCGCTGTTAAATCCCAATAAATAGAGAAAACTGGGGGAAAGGGGAAAGGGGAAAACCCCCCATCACCTATTGAAATTGGCGAAAAAATCTTTGTTATATATTTTATTAATAAAAAGATTGAAGATGACGAATGTACTTTTCTATTTAAATAAAACAAAAGGAAAAGAATTTAAAAAAAAAATAAAAAACTAATTTCAGCTATAGTCCAAATTTTTTAAATAAATGTAAACAAGTCCCAAATAAGTAATTAAAAAATAAAATAAGATAATCTCCAAATAAAAAAAGGGAGTGTCGTTAAACTCAAGCAAGTTGTTGAAAAATTGGGAATTTGGTTTTTTTTTTTGGGGGGGGGGGGGGGTGGTTTTTTTTTTTTTTTTTTTTTTTTTTTTTTTTTTGAAGATTTTTGTATTATAAATTTTTAATTATTTATTTTGAAATTTTTTTTTCTTTTTTGCATTTATTTGAAAATTTTTGGGACTATAATTGAAATTAGTTTTTATTTTTTTTTCTTCTTTTCTTTTTGTCTTATTTAAATATGAGGGTATATTCGTCAATTTTAATCTTTTTATTGAGTAAATAAACAATAGTGATCTTTTTCGCTAATTTCAATAGGTGAAGGGGGTTTTGCCGTTTTGCCATTTTGCCCATTTTTTCCCTATTTATTGAAATTTAACGACGGGATCGACGGAATGTGACGAGAAGGGGTATTTCACAAGACAGGTTTGAAACATGGAAGTTTTTAATGCTATTTTCAAAAAGGTAAGGAGGTTTTTGACAACAAGAACAATAGGTAGGGAGTTTTGTACTGTTTTGGCTGATAAAAAAACCTTGGATTCGACCAGTAATGAGCAAGAGGGGTGCCCACTATATTACTTTAAAAAAAGAAAAGAAAACTTTCCCTCAGGGTTGACACAACAATGCATATATAGCACTTTAAAGTCTTTACTTTAATTTGGCCCTCCTCTTAACTAGACATTACAAGTCAAAAGAGTGACATACCAGCACTTGATAGTGCCCACCACTCCTTTTTTTGTGGGTCACAAACATGGAAACCGTGTCTAACAAAGTAACCTTATTTTCAAAGAAGCTTCGGCAGGCTTTACTTGCATTTTGGTGTCAATTTATAAAAGATTGGCCACACTGATTGTTACACCCCAACTTTTATATATATACTAGTCTATGTTACGTGCGATGCATGAGCTGTGCATAAATTATGGTTTGGTTAGCGTATGTATTGAATATGTTTGAAAATATATGGAAAGCTGGAATTATTGGCAAGGAACTAACCAGTTATACAAGTCGATCACTCGTCTTTCTTCAACAAAATGTCATTTTTCTACCAAAAGTTGCAGAATTAATAAAATCCATTAATAATGAGAATTCAAATCATAGTTAGTCAAAAAAATACTCCACTGAACAGTAAAAGGATTCCAAGCAAAAAAAGATAGCACCATAGCAGTACATCCTTCAACAAATTATTGTAGATATAAATGTATTATTGTACAGTAGAGAAATAATTCAAGGTAAAGCAGAAGTTAGAACCTGAAAATCCTAAAATTCTTCATCAAGGCTATTTTCCTTAATGAAATGTTGAGTACTCCTTAAAACGCGGTTGTTCTACAACACTTAGGTGTCCATTCATGATGAGGAATTTAAGCAGTGTAACTAAACTTCAAGGCACTGTATTGTTAAACGATGCTCTGATAGATATTTCAGTAACTCAAACTCTGTAGAATTCAAAAACTCCTTAACATTACTCAGTACTACATCTAGTTCTGTCCAATATTGAGATTCAATATTTTCGAAATCTAGAAGCTTATCCTCCATATGTATACTTCTAACAATACCCGGATTTTTCTTGTCCACTTCAGAAGGAGGGAGTGAATATTATAAAAATGAAGCACTCCCTCAAAGGAATCAACTTCTTTTAGAAAATCAACCTTTTATTACGTAGAATATTCTAAACTGATGTTGTCGACTAAATAAACTAATTATTGAATCTCAAGAAGATTAGGTAAACTAAGGTCACAAGTAGGCATATCCTGGAAGAAGTTACAAATTCACATACAAACTAACAAGTGATATCTTTATTCTTAGACCGGAAAAAAGTGTGTTATCAGTACTTCGAGAGAAGTGGACTATTAGAAATTAATAGAAGGTAAATATGTTATCTAGATTATGTACATATCTAAAGCATTTAACCTTATGAGCAACAACTACTACAATAGTTGTGGGAACGCAATTCTCAATGGGTAAAAAAAGACTCTAGCATTTAACAAGTTTGAAACAAATTGATTTCTTGAGATAAACTATAATGCAGGATATTTACAAGATACCACCCTCCTCCATTGCCTTTCCTAAGGCAGCCCCAATGATTTTTATGTCCTCATCTCGTTCATTTAAACTAATAATTATATCTCCAGCTACTAAATAATTAATGTTCAAAACTGCTAAATAAAAAAGTTGAATAGTGGATTGGGAAAAATAAAGAATTAATCCAATTCTAGATGCGCTTCCACTGTTAAAAAAGGGATGTTTGGAACTATCCTTAACAATATTCAATACATATGCTTGGAGATGTGAACAAAAACTTCAAAGCATTTACTATAGTACACTCAGCAACTTAACTCTAGGAGAGAATATCCAAATCTTAATTCTTATGCTGGTGAAAACAGCTATAACTAAAGAGTAACTTAGTGAGAAACATCACTGGTAATTTGATATGATTTTTTTTATTTACACTTTGAGACAAAATGTTTACAAAGGCACAAAATTAATCTGTCTGTGTAAGATTTTTTATGTATATCATGACTCATGAGATTAGTAAAACTCAAGGTTGTACATAGTAAATAAACGAAAAAGAAAGGGAAATAAAGTTAAGTTACAGTTATATAAAAATTAGAGGAAAAAGGAACAATGCACTAATTTCCATTAGTTTAATACTAAACAAAGTGAAAGAGGATATTCGGAATTAAATCCTCAAATGAAATGAAATTGAAAATCCAAAACTGAATTAGGTGACTAATGAATCCAAACAGCATTCTGAATTCGACTGAAATTTAAAGGGCACTTCTTCAAAACAATGGCAATACAAATAACCTTTTTTTCTTGTTAAAATAAAAGTACATTTTTTCGTGATGGATGGTCAATGAAGTTTGTAAGAAAGTCATCAACTTTAATTATTTGTGTAACTACATAATTTACTTATAACTAACAAGGAAGGAAGAAAATAAATAGAGAAGAAAGAGAAAAATGAAGCACTTCTATTGAGACTTGCAATTCGGAAATAGATAATTTGTTCTAGAATTTTGTTAATTGCAATATTTGGCTAGTGAAATTTTCCGAAAAACAATACCTTGAAAGCCAATAAAAAAATAAGAGGAAAGATAACAGCTAATCCTGCAATATTGAAAACAATAAATAGCATGACTTCAAAGTTAATCATTTAAAAACTCCACAAGAATTAAATTGTTTTCCTTTCCTACATTCATCCCAAATTAAAAGTAAATATAGTATCAAAAAATTTCACAATACAAAAAAAAAAAAGAAAAAAGAAAAAAATATTGAGTAGTGGAGATTATAAAATAGTAACTATGATCAAAAGTAATCACAAATAAGATAGCGTAAATACGGTAAAACCATGATGGTGGACAGTTTATTTGACGAACTTCACATACATGTCATAGTACTTTTATAATTTGAGTTCA